GGGGAAGTCGTACTTGATGATCGAGGTGGACTTCTCGGCACTTGTCACTCCTGGCAGCGGTAGGCTATGCACCATAGCCTGCACTCACACTAAATGCCTGGCCAGAACATGACCTCACACGGCCTCTGTGAAAGCTGTCTGCACGCGAGGCATGTGTGCTGAGGAGGCCCATGTTTCAGACACCTAGCACCGTCCCAAAACGTCATTGCTGACGTTTTTTGTAGATGTGGTTTGACGAGGGTAGATTTACTTGGCAGTAAACATACACAAAGGTATGCATGCCGTCACGCCATTGGCTCCTTCTGGATGTTGTAGTACTAATTGTGAAGAGGATTTTAGTGTAGTTTCTTATTGTACCGAGGGTTCAAAATTTCAGAAATTTTTTGCATATTTCGGTGGGGTTCGAAATACTTGCAACCCTGAAATTTTGAGGCAAATTCAAACTAAAATTTAAATTATTTTAAAAATCATTAAAAAATATTGATTTTAGAAACTCAAAATCCGAAATAAGTTCCGAATTTCTGGATTTTGCATATTCCGGTGATGTACAAAAAATTTCCATGACCGAAATTAAAAACCTTACAAACGTGGCTTTTTGGGCAGGTCCCTCTGTTGTAGTTACGCTCGGGTACCCCTGTTTTAAATAAGAGGGGCAACTAAAAAAGAAAGTTTTTTTATGCTCCATTAGCTAGCGTAGTCTTCTACTATCAATAAAACCAAAAAATAAATCAAATGTCAGTGAGTTGGATCTAAAAGTTGGGAGTTGTCCAAATGCATGTCATGCCCATCAGTCAACACCAATGGGTTGCTAGGGTAACTCTCGGCCGCCATTCCATTTGTAAATAGAGGTTTACACTTACAGTGTTCGATGACTTGCTTTCATTTTAATATCAAAAGATTATTTTGTTAGAAAACAGATTTTTATTTTATTTTTTGCTCAGAAAGATCATTCATCTAGAAAAGAATTATGGCCAGTGTAGTAGAAGTTACTAGCTTTTTTATTGGCAGAATGCAGCCCTCAAAGATGGCTTAACACTTTCTTATTAGCAGTTTAAATAATGTACAGAGATAAGTTTACCCCTTTGGAAGGAGATGGATTTGATTCATTCCTTAGGAAGACTTTGAGAGAAGCTTCATCAGGAATTGCTGCATGGTTATACTCTCTATGCTGCATCAACATTGGCTAGGCATCCTGCTTGGCAGATTTGTTTGACAGAAGGCCTCATTTCTTCCTCAATATTCTCCAGTAAACCTGCATTAAGCATCGCTTTGGTAGCAGGGATACCATTTCTTGAGATGAGACTGAGCTCTACTCCTGACGTGAGATATGTAGATTGCAACAGATGCAAATGAAATGCTTGCAAGTTGGAATGACATAACAACGGAAGAAGATGCATATCAGAACATGATTAACGAAGCATAATATCCTCCGATTTGAATACAGTACCCAACAATGACAATAAAGATGAACTGCATCTAATAATTAACATCAGCCAAATAGTTTCAGCTGCAACTCCAAAATAAGCATGAACTGCCTTGAATGCATCCTTTGTTTCCCAGCAGCTGACCTAATCACACCAATGCGTCAGATCAAGGGGAGAGCTTATCGATGCGGATGTACAGGGGAACTTCCATGGATGCCCCGTCTCCTGCTACTGGCACCAGGTACATTGGCGGCACTGTCAGGAACGTGGGCTCGCCCGCAGCAACCACGGCCCCGGGCGATGAGCTGCTCCTCATGTGCATGTCCACGAGCACCATGCCCTCCTTGCCGCAGTTCGCCACTGCTGCCAGGGGTGTCTCCAGGTTGACCCACATCTTACACGTGAACCGCGGCCGCGTCGCCGCTCTCGCCCTGGCGCACACCACAGACACGGCCGTCACACCGGCGCCGAGCGCGCCCACGGTCATGAGGAACACGCAGTTGTCGTTGCCAAGGAGCACCAGCCGCGTGGTCGACACCGGTAGTTGAAGCTTGATGACCTTGCCGTACTGCACGGCGCGCACCGGCACCAAGTGGACAGTGTGGAGGTGACCGGCAAGCGCCTGCGGCGCGCCGACGTAGCCGCAGCCGGGCTCAGTGCACCGGCAAGGCGCGTGCGGGCACACTTTCTGGTGCTCGGCGACCTCGTGGTAGATCACGTACCACTGGCAGCCGGCGTTGGGGCACCCGATCCTGGTGGAGGACACCACGCCGTCCAGCGCAGGGCAGGGGTCGAAGAAGCCGCCGCCGTCCACGCATGCCTTGCACTGCCCGAAGGGCAGCAGGGCCACGCAGCTGCCGCATGCCGGGTGCCCCGCTTTGCACTGCAGGCAGGCACACAAATCGGAGATGGCCCGTAAATTAGCACGAAAGAATAGATCTATCACCGGCGCCAATCAAGGAAGAAATAAGGAAATAGAGAGACGAACCTGGAAGACCGGGGGCTTGAAGGGGAGGGTGCAGAGGGGGCAGTGGAGCACTTGCTTGTCGATCCTCACGGCGAGTTCCACTCGCTGGATGTACGCCGCCCCAACGATGGCGCCTCCATCTCCTCCACCGGCTGCCTCTTGCTTCATGTGGCCGTCGGGCAGGTCCAGCCGCGCCTTCTTAGAGCTCTCGTCGGCCTTGTCAGGCGAAGCCCTGCTCCTCCTCTCGGCGGCCGCGGCGGCGCCTTGCATCTTGGCTGGCCTTTGGGGAAAGAAAACTCTTGTGTGTGTGTCTCACGCCAAACTTTTTCAGGAGGTGGGTGAGGAGTAGATCTGAGATCTGAGAAGAAAAGTTGCCTAGGCAGCCACACTACACTATAAATGCTTCCTCATTGTCGTTTCCATTCCCAAACTTATATGGTATAGATATATGCCGTGCTCTTAATCAATTTCATTATTGCTAGTTTATCCATACATTAATGTTGTCTTTCTTTTAAGTACCTACAAGTGTGCGATAAAAAGGTTGACCATTGCAGATCCATGTTATTTTTAGAAAAATCGAGGAAGATAAATGTAAGCACATTGTTTTTTTCATAGCTTCCTGCTTAATTGATACACTGCGGAGTACTTTTGACTCCATCGCCAGAGTATCACACCATCAAACACGTGGGAGCCCATAAAAAGAAAAGGATACATATGTAAGCACAAGGGACACGTGTGACCAAATAGTACAAAGGAGCACACAAACGCATCAAAACTTTTTGCCTAGATCATGACACATTCCGCCTTTCTCACTATTATCGATAGACACATACGCCATCGCTGATGTGCTGGCTGCCACCAGAAAATAACAACAACATGACCACAAGCCTCCAAAAGATCCATGGAATAGGTACTAGATTTTGGAGACCCTGGCGCCAAAAATCTTGATTAGCTGCTTGCATGAAGTAGGAGAAATAACCCCTTGATTCGGCAGATGCCATCAAGAAGCAATGAGCAATCCATTTGTCACCACACCACGCAACCACCTAGTCCAGGGACTTCTAAGCAGGCATCTGTAGCTGGAGGTTATAGAGACACAGGGAGATAACCAGAGATGACACCAACCAAGATCATCCTCGCATCAGTGCGTGAGAAAGGCTTGAACAACGTTGCCAGAGCACGAAAAAGCTAACACTAAGGATGATGTGGAAAATCAAGTATCGGCTCCCAACCAACCTGCGCTAACCACCAGGTGATGGAACATAGAGAGTAGAAAATATATCCAAGATTACAATAGGGGCTAAGCTTCACCTAATATCCTAGAAATAACATAGTGGAGAATAGGTAGCAGGAAAGCTTACTTGAACCTAAGGAGAGACAAGAATATAAGGGGCGACCAAGTCACTCAACCGCTTCTTCGAGAGGTGTCCGATCAACTAGGGAGAAAGCCTTGCTTCATCCGGAGCCGGCGACGGCGGCGCTCGTGGGTGTCGCTAACTTTCTTGAAGGCGTCGTTGTCATGTTGTTTAATCCTCCTCGTTGGCACCCCGGGGGGAACCCCTAGTCCATGTCTTCTTGGTACGGATGATGTCGGCGTAACCGGCGTCGTGGCCCTTCTTGAAGGTTTCATCTTTAGGGCTGCATGGTCGATGAGTGTTTGCTGCTCACTGCGGTGGTGATGGTGGTGGTGGAGGTGTGGTTGCTTGGGGTTGACGGTGGTTGTTCGGTGGTGTTCTTTGGGGTTCGGCGGCAGTGCTTTTTGCGCCGAAGGGCAGCCATCTGTTTCCCCTCATGAAGGAGTATCGCCCTGGTGCTGTGCTCAAGACCCTTCCCACGGTTGCCGAGGTGTTGCGGCAAGCTTTGTGCTCTTGGTGATGTCTCGGTTCATCTTTGCCCATTGATGGCGCAAGATGTCTCCCCACCTTGCTAATCGTTCTGATTTTCCATGGTGGAGCTCCCTGTCAAGGTTCGTTTATACTGCACTCATTGGTTGTGGATGCTCCTGAGTTGTGTCGTGGGGCTCGCCACGCAGTCCAGTGTGGTGCGTTAGGCTTCTTGCAAAGTCCCGGTATTATGATCCCTCGACGACTTTCCACATATACTTGTGTCTTTCGTGGTGATAGTCTTTCTGTCTGTTAGCTAGGTGTGCCTTGTCTTCGGCACCTTTTTTCTGCTTTTTTGTCTTGTTTTTTTTTTTGACGCAAAATGTTTTCTTCTGCTTTCTTTTAAAACATGGAACAATCTCAGTAGTGTCATGGGCAGCCGTTTGGCCTGGGCTGGGCTTTCGGTCCTTGGTCGGCCCGGAGCAGGGGAAGTCTCTAGTCTCCTAGTTGTTGTGGTTCATGTGTTCTTGCCCCGCAAATATTCGCCCTCTAGTCGTTGCGGGAGCCCCCAAATTCGGTGAAGCACTCGTTCCCATTGGCCCTTCCGAAGACCGCTCACAAAAATGTTCTTTTTTTTTTTCAAAAATAATTGTTGATGCTCTTAGTAAGTATGTAGTGTGGCTTATTCAAATTTGTTGTTAATCCGCTTGATGCATAAGGAATCGAAATGTTGGAGCTGACCAGTGGGGTTTTGATCTGCAGTACTGACCGGAGGACCTAGCTTCCATGGAGATGGAGATGGAGATGGAGATGGATGGGAAGAGCAACGGCGTAACCAAGGTGGCGAAGGAGGACCCTTCCCTTTCACAGGTAACTGAATGATGATTCTGTTGGGTCTATGTGCACAGTAGAGGAGCTCACAAGTTTTGGTGAAGACCTGCCCTTGAGATTGAAATTATTGCTCTTTGAGTAAGGAGGAATTGTTGTTTCTTCATTTTGTAGCCATTGCAAATCGGGTAATGCATAAGCAAATTGAATTGTGGGTCTGATCTGAAATGTACTGCAGGCCATGGGTCTCATGGAGGGGAACAACAACAGCAACGGCAGCGAGACCAAGGAAGGGGGCGATAATCGGCTGGATGGAGAGGGCGTTATTGTCAAGAAGCAGAATGTTGCCATGGCCATGGGAACGGAGTTCTTGGACTGCCCTATCTGCTCCGCCCCCCTCAGCCCTCCAACTTTCCAGGTAATTGGATTGATGCAATTTTGTGTATGTTGTCACCGCAAAAATCATCTCCAATTTCTAGTACATTGCTCTCTTCATGTGGATACGGTTAGTGCTCTTGTATGTGATGAAGTTAATTCTGAACCTTGTTGGGTTGATTGTCTGTAGTGTGCACTGGGGCATTTCGTGTGCCTGAACTGTCGCGATAAGCTCCTGGAGACAAAGGCGAACAAGGTTTGGGGCGTGTGCTCCAGGGACGTCTCGACCCGCTGCCACGACATGAAGCGTGTCGTCGACTCCATCATCGTGCCATGCTCATATGCCGTGCATGGGTGCGGCGACACAATCGCCTACCACAAGAAGAGGACGCACGAGGAGGTGTGCTAGCACGTGCCAAGCTTCTGCCCTGAGAAAGGCTGCGGCTTCGCAGGCACGACAACGGCCCTCCTGAATCACTTCTCCGTGCAGCACGAGTGGCCAACGACACGCTTCCAGTACTACAATGCATTTGACGTACCCGTGAAGGCCAGCGTGCACATGCTCCGTGAAGGCGAGGTGGCCACCCCTTTCTGCTTCATGTGGCGTCCCTGGACTCCACACCACTGCACGGGGTCTCTCTAGTCTGTATCGGGCAGCATGCGGCGCCGTAATCCAAGTTCGGGTGCTCCGTAGGCTTCTCCTGGTTCAAGGACCATTACCAGGCGTCAACGCTGGATACGATCAGGAGCACGTCGCTTTCTGACAGACTGCCGACAAACTACTTCCTCACCGTTCCCAAGGCTTGCCGTGGAGGTGGCGCCTGTGTCGTGCTTAGCGTGACAATTGATACAGAGATGGTGTATGGAGACGATGACGAGCTGGAGGAGGAGGATGAGGACGATGAGAGCTACAACAAGGAGGAAGATGAGGACGGGGACAGCGCACTACTAGGAAAAGGCATGCTAGTGGCGCATCAGTTTTGCCTACTAATGGCGCACTACTGGTGCGCCATTAGCATCACGCCATTAGAATTAAATTCTAATGGCGCACCACTGGTGCGCCATTAGTATCTGGTGTTCTAATGGTGCACCTGATAGTGCGCCATTAGTATAGCCCACAGTGCGCCATTAGAATACCTCCCAGGGGGCCATATGCACCCATGTGCTTTGGCATACTAACGGCGCACCAGTGGGTGATGCGCCATTAGTGTGATTATCACAGTGCGCCATTAGTGTCTTGTGTGGTGCGCCACTAGTATGAATATTAGGGATTTTTTTTTTCTTTTCTGATATTTTCACAGGTTACAAAATATATTATTGGACAGAATTTAGACAACAGCACACAGCGATAGCAGATTCATCGAATACATAGAAGATTAGTCTCCGAATACAATTCATCATATTAGTCTCTGAATTCAAAAGACCGAACAAAGATAGAACATTACAAGTCTCGAGACCGCGAGTAGCGAGTTTGTCTTCACATTACAAGTCGATATCGATCATCTAAACTACCATCACATAGAAGAGAGCTGCGGTCATCACGATGAGCATCATCGCAATGAAACTGGTCTTCATCTGGTTCCTCCAACGCTCCCTCCTCTCTCCCGCTAGATAGCGGGCGTATCTAGATTCCGCCTCCGTCCTACTGGTGTACCCTTTGTAACTGTTACCGCTGAAACGATGAACCTGTCTCCGACACTCCCCCCAGTCGTCGTAGACTCCGGGAACCTTACCCTTGTACACGACATATGACGACATCTCTATGCACAAGCCAAACAACAGACAATACATAAGCAATATATAAGTATGCAACAAAAGGATCGGAAGAGAAAAGCAAGACATTAATAGCACGATTCATGGTCCTACTAATAAATAGCATCGTTTACATCTAAGTTGAACGACTGTCCAAACCAAAGAGACATACAAGTTCATTAAAGTTTAACTAGCACAGATGCCCGTGCGTTGCAATAGGAGATAAAATAGTATGCATTTGAAGTCAACGAGAATTATATGTGTAAGCAAAACCCTTTGTGCACACAAAAAATGAACATTTAGCTACTTGGTTTCGCCACGTGTGAAAGAATCAATCCGCTATTTTCCCATTCATTGATCGAGGCCATTTAATAGTTTTGTTACATCATTATATGCCAGAAAAAGCCCATGAATTATTCAATTAACACTTCCTTTCAATCCTTTTAATCCAGGGGATTTAAAGGTATGAAGTTTCCGAATATTCCGGGAAACATGAATAATTTTTAAAATCCTGTATATATTTTTTTAAATTACGTACACTTTCAGAAAAAATACGAACAAAATATGAAAGGGAACATCTTTTAAACTTTTCAATTTTTTCTGAAAACAAAATTATTTTTCTAAAACATGAATATTATTTGAATTTTTTACAATTTTTTAAAATGGGAGCATGTGTTCAAAATTCATAAGATTTTTTGAAAATATGTGTCTTTGTACACGAACATTATTTTTAATTTTGACATATTCACTAAACATGATGTTTTTTACATTTGGAGCATTTTTTGAAATGCCATTTTCTTTCTAGAAATCTCGAACAATTTCTAAAACAACAGAAAATTCAAAAATTGGCTACTTTTTGCACGTTCCGAATATTTTCAAAATAGCAACAAAATTTTAAAATTCTGAACATTTTCCAAAATTTGTTTATTTCTAATCATTAACGGTTTTTGAGAATTTTCTATTTACAAAATAAATTCTAAAATAAAAATAAACTTGGAAGGCAAAAAATATTTAGTGAAAGCAAAATAAAAATAGAAGTAAGACACAAAATAAAAGAAAAATGAGGCAGCCCATTATTGGCTGTCCTGTGTGTAACTCCCACTGTGAAAAATAGAATTTTGCCAGCTGCGTGGGCAAACAAATATGTGGGCTGGCTTCGCTGGGCCACAATGCTCGGCCCATGTACAGAAAATAATTTTTATAAGAACATGAACATTATTTGAATTTTTTACCATTTTTTAAAATGGGAGCATATGTTTAAAATTCATAAGATTTTTGGAAAATGTGTGTCTTTGTACACGAACATTATTTTTAATTTTGAAAATTCACTAAAACATGATGTTTTTTACATTTGGAGCATTTTTTGAAATGCCATTTTCTTTCTAGAAATCTCGAACAATTTTTAAAAACAATAGAAAATTAAAAAATGGGCTACTTTTTGCACGTTCTGAATATTTTCAAAATAGCAACAAAATTTTGAAATTCTGAACATTTTCCAAAATTTGTTTATTTCTAATCATTAATGGTTTTTGAGAATTTTTAATTTACAAAATAAATTCTACAATAAAAATAAACTTGGTAGGCAAAAAATAGTTAGTGAAAGCGAAATAAAAATAGAAGTAAGACACAAAATAAAAGAAAAATGAGGCAACCCATTATTGGCTGTCCTGTGTGAAACTCCCACTGTTTGTCGGCTAGTGTGGAAAATAGAATTTTGCCAGCTGCGTGGGCAAACAAATATGTGGGCTGGCTTCGCTGGGCCACAACGCGCGGCCCATGTACGGGAAATAATTTTTCTTGCAGACAAGCGCATAAGAATTTAGTACTACCTTGGATACGAAAAATTTGTTTTCGACGGTGAACGGATGAAAATTTTGACGAAACACACCTTGCTTTATTAGTAAGTATAGATTACAACATGAGCCAATCAATGTTTCAGAACTACACATATCATCACTACTGTCGACTCGACTCATGGGACGGGAGCGTGGATGAAGCCGCCGTCTGTCGTGATGGTCATGAAATCGCGGACGTTATCAGCCTGCATTTGTAGCGTTGTGTCTATCTCACTGTTGAACGGTTGATGTCTGAGGTAGAACTGCCCCGAGGTACGAAGGACATCTTGATGGATAATTTCCGCAAACTCTGACTGGATGTGAAAGAATTCTTGTCTGATGTCCGCGTCCTGGATTGCCGACAAGCTCGCGGCCCAATCTTTGAGATTATCTGGTAGCAGAAGGTGATGATGGTCCTGTACGATCGTCCGCATGTGATGGAGGGCGTAGTATGCATCCTTCTGACCGCCAGGCGGCTGCTTGACGCAGGAGAACTTTGTATTGTGGGCAAACACGTGCGCGCCGTACCGCCTACGAACTGGTTTGGCGAAGGTGCCTCCAGATTTGGCGTAGCCGGGGAGAACATCATCAAGAACTTTCTTGATATTTGTGTAGTCTATCTTGGAGTCACGGTCCGGGTCGAAATACGTGGCCATGGAATATTTCAGGCTTAAGATGATGAGTGTGCAATGTGTGTCACTGCACAGAACACGGAATGTTAGAAAAAAAAAGAACGATCGAAATCTAAGAAATCATATGTTACGGGGCGGTGAGGGAATGACTTACTCGGGAAAGTAAGGCACGAGGAAGTTATCCTTATCTTGGTTTGCCAGAATGACGCCTTTGAGGTAAGAACTCGCGACTTGCCGGTCCCTAGCGCTGCCCAAGATCTTGGCACGCATGTAGAAGGGGTCGACTATCACGATGTCCGGGGTCTTGTCTATAATGATCCGCATCTCCATACTCAGCGAAAACAGCCGAACGAAGGTGTAGTGCAGCGGATGAAGGTTAAACATAGCAAAGATGTCATCAAACCGCAGGACGATCGTACCCCCGATGGCGCCATCCACAAAGCCCTTGCCCTTTGGCACCTTGGCCACGAAAACCGGGTATGCCACATCATTCTCTCTGAGACGCCGCTTCTCCAAAGAAAGAACACTGTCATGCAGACTCCGCATAGCACCGGTTGCAGCATTGAGCATATTTGTCGGTAGCATCGCCCTACCCGCCACATGCACCCTCCTCGAGATATCCTTAGGTGAAGGTGGCCCGTCCTGAGCGCGGATCGTACTCGGTGCCGGCTGGCTCGCACCCTTGTTACTCTTTCTTTTCTGTCCCTTCTTCTTCTGTTGTAATGGGACCGAGTTCTGCTCACAGACCGCCTTCTTGAGTGTGTTGGGGCTGATAATATTTGGCACCTCGGCTATCTGAGGCTCGGTGAAGTCGGAAGCTGGAGGCGTCTCCTGAGAACTGAACGCCAGACGACTCCTGTTGCAACTGGGTTTCTCCGCCGTACCAGCTAGACCGTGGTCGTCTTGGTTGGGTTCTTGAGAGAGAGGCCTGCAGAATTCATCATCGTACCCATGTTCGGCAAAGTACTTATCGACGTTGCTAAATGTACGGCCGTCGTCGTTGTCGTCGTCGTCCAGATGCTGTGCCATATGCATGTTCGGATCCTGTGCCATAGGGATGTCCGGCATGTCCGGTAGCGTTGCGGCGGTCTTGCCATGGCTTGGCGCCGGCACGACTGGCGGTGTTGTCTCTGGGGTGGTGTCCCCCGCCCCCAAACGAATCTGGCTCTTCGGCCAAAGCAGGGGCCAGC